CGCTTGTTAAATATAAATATGTGTACCAGGTGGTATGGGTGGATTTTTTTTCTACCAAGGAGTTTGTCTGTGTAGGTAGCATTCTCTTACCTATTCTGCCGCCAAATGGCAGTAACGTCGAACAATATGAGTTAGCCGTCAGAGCCGGGGCCCGTCGCCCCTGTTTGAACGGCCGTTAGATAAACTCATCCATGTTATGTTAATGTGATCACAGAACCGAACACAATATTATCTGTAGCCTTCTTAGTTTGAAGTTGGATACTGTAGTAGCCACTTACCGTTAGGTGGACTGTAAATTCATTTGTCATTTTAGCGTTTATGAAAAAATATATTTATATAAACTTATATCCTCCCCTCCCCTCTCTTCCTCCCCCATCAAGGCGCTGTTGAAGTGCGAGAAGCGTCGTCAAAAGGTGGCGGAGGCGTGGCTGCGGGGCGCACACGCGGCCCGCCAAGAGCAGGCCGCCCAGAGACGCGAAGAAAAGCGCAAACAGGAAAAGGAGCGCATTCTAGCTGTAAGTGGGTTTTTATTGGTCGTTTTAGATTTTATAAGACTGTTATCAGATGATGTTAAAAGTAATTTAATAAGTTTATTTGTTAATTACTTTATTTAAGATTTTTACGTCATAAACGCACCAACGACAAAGTCCTTATGAATAAAAAAGTGGGTTTTGAAATGCTCTCAGGCAAATACATTTTCAACCGATTTCAAAAAGGAGGAGGTTTACAATTCGTCGGAATCTTTGTTTTTTTTTTATATGCATGTTCACCGATTACTCGAAGACGCCTGAATTCATTTGGAAAATTCTTTTTTTTGTTTTAAAGGGTATACTTCCCAGGTCGAGTGGTTTTAATAAAATCATCAATATATTATATTTATATAAAAAAAATATTTTACTATTTGTTATGCAATAATATTCATATTGCCTTGTGGTGGGGGTGTAAGCGAATTCAACTCGCCCATTTGGAAAATGCCAGAAAGATCCTACACGCGGATCTTATACGTGGTAGAGCCACGCTGCAGCTATATTATGGTTGTAGCATGAAGAGGTCGGGGTTCGACGGGGGAAGTGCCACACTCTCACAGAATACCTGCGTAATAGCAGCTGAATGCTATTGTGTTGCGTATGGTAAGTTGGGAGACCAGGAGATCATTTTTAACATAACAAGACATTCCATCTTGGTGCTGCAAGGTGACAACATATCTGCATTTTGATTCTTAATCTAGGATAAATTTAGGCCACAGCATCCACTTACCATCAGGTGGACTGTATGTCACCTTTATACAATTAAAACAATAGCCATCCTCTTTAAAAGTTAAAAAAAAGTTAAAGTTACAGCCTATATACGTCCCATTGCTGGGCACAGGCCTCCTCTCACTTCTGAGAGGGTTTTAGGGCAAGGTAAGGTCCGCTGCGCTGCACCAATGCGTGTTGGCGAACTTCACATGTCTTCGAAATATATTTTTTTTCTTATTTGTGAAACATGCAGGTTTCCTCCCAATGTTATTCTTCACCGTCGAGCACGTGGTAAAATCCTCTTTAAGTCAGAATTAAAATACTCAAACCGTGTAAATATTTAAAACGAGTGTTAAAGGTGCGAGACGGTACTTCGATCGTCAATCTATCTGCCAAGAGTAATGATTATGGTAAATAACTCCTGTATCCCAGCAGTGGACTTTGACTCGCTGATAAATATAAAGGAAAAGGTAGAATTGTATAAAGTTATATATTGTACAATTAATTCTACACATTGTTTTAGATACAGCTTGGTAGCAATAACTTGATTCTCTATGACAATTATATTCTCTGTTCTCATTCTTGTATTTCTTAATAACTTAACTACTATAAATAAAATTGAAATGTCTGTTTTTAAGAAATAAACATTTTTTTTTATTTTTTTTTTTGTCCATCTGTATGTCTGTTCAGACTAATCTTCAGAATAGCTGAATCGATTGTGATGAAACTTTACGAATGCAAGGAGGAGGATCTAGGGTATATTTTATTCTAAAAACTTGGGATTTTTTTTTGACAAATCAAATGATTGATTAATTATATGGTCTTTGATGATTATTTTATCCAGGCGAAGTCGGGGCGGGTAGCTTAGTTGTTTATTATACAATTTATAAAACATAATTTTACAACAAAAACCCAAAAAAAAATGTACGACGTTTTACACGTTTGAATAAACATTAAATAAAGATTCTATGTGGTCTTAAGGATGTTTATGAATTTACTATAGCACCCTGCCGTCTTAAAAAACACTGTGGCCGATGTTACGCAAGATGGGAGGTGAGATGGAATGCGGGGACAGAGAAACAGGATAATAAGGAGAAGCAAAATATTTTAAATGATGAATATTTCCAATAAACGATTTTATATATTTATATATTATTTTTTAACTTCAGGAGGACGATCCGGAGAAGCAACGCCGTTGGGAACTAAAGGAACAAAAACGGCAACAGAAACGCAAGACGCCGAAAATGAAACAGTTAAAAGTGAAAGCACTCTGACCGCTTCTCATCCCGTTAAATACATTCGCAATGCAATATTATTTACACCCTTTTTTTGTTATTTATCTTAAGTGTTAACGTACTCAAAAGCGGCGAATAAATGAATTACAGTACATTTGTTGTTTTATGATCATAGTCCTCCTACACACCAACATGCAACACATAACTATAACTAACTTTTTTTTACATATTATGTTTGTTTCAGATATTACATCCATAGAATTGTTATTATAAGAATTATAATCTATGTTAATATTTCATTAATTTCGACACAATAATTCAAGAAATAGTAATAATATTAATAAATAAAATCATAACACTAATAACTTAGCTCTTTAAATTGTGCTAATAGCAAGTAGCTGGCAGATAACTCAACGCACAAAACTTCCAGATAGGAGTGTCGTAGCTCTTTGCAACAATTTACAGACATTTTTAGTTGACACCCTTAGAATTTATAGCGTAGATTAAATCTCTTTCCTAGTGTTTCATCAGCTGTAAAGACGCCATCACATTTTGGAAAAAAGTATTTACTTTTATTTCCTGTTTTACACATTCATACAATGCTCAGGTTAAAATAATGTCTAAACGAAGAAACAATGGTCTCAACGAAGCTAGTGTTCCAAACAAGTCACTTTCTGATGAGATGAGAAAGTCTTTCTGTTAAAATTTGGGTGGTGCTACAGTCCCATCAGTGGAGCCAATGTGATTGTCAGTATATCAACATCCTGAAGCTTTTGTATGAGTAGGGCTACAATGGATGGCGGGCTAGGTTGGGATATCTGCAGTATAACCAGAGTAACCAACATAGCACAATTCGTTCCGCTATGTCGGTTACTTTTTTCTATCTGTAAGCTAACGTTGCAATGGGCTGGCCATTCCATATAGCTCCAATGCCCAGCAACCGATGAGGAAGAAAAGTCAAGTGGCAGCCTCTTACTAGTAAGCTAAGTGCCACGGTAATATATTGCAGCACCTAATATTTATTTTTTATTCTTTAGGCTATTTGTGCACCTGCATGTGGTTTTCTAAGTTAATTAGTAATCCTGGCTGTGCAAAATTTAAGCGATTTTTAATGATATTATACAGGTTCATCATATTAATTGTGAAATCACCTGTTTTTTAAGTATTCAATATGGAGGCATTGGTGGGTGTCCACATTTTTATTGGCCTCTATTTTTAAGTATACTAGGAGGAGACTAATAAATTATTATTATTAGTATAAAAATACACCAACATTAAATATTTTATTTTATATTTATAAAATAAATAAAAATAATGTGATCATTACATTATTTATCAATTTTATTATAATATTATTACTATTGTGATTATTGTTACATTTTGGGGTTTGGGTTTAAAAGGTCTTTACTAAACATAATATATTATGTTATTGAACATAACAAATATTTTGAATATAATGTTGTGTCCTATTTTGAAGGTTATTTCTAGAATTGTGTAAGTACTTTAATGTAAATAAAATAATTTGTTAAGAATAAATTTAAAGAATGTGATTTAATATGGATTATAGACTATATTAATTAAAGGTTATGCTTCTATGTCAGCAATGGTCAATGTTAAGTTTTTTCTTTCATCTATAATCAGTTTTTATTGTTGTGTTCAAAATAACAAAAATTCATAAAATTATTATTCTAAAAATTTGCCTGCCTTCAAAAATTAATGATTATGCATTTGAAAGTATTAAAAATAAAATTAATTCTGAAATTTTAAAGCAATATTTTAATTCTATATATTTATTAATGAACAAAGAAAAATAACAAAATATGTTAACAAAACATAAGTAACTATTTCTAAGTCACAAAAGTGAAAAATAGTAAAATGACATGAGCTGGCTGAAAATATTTGAATGAAAAATTTCAATATATTGCATTATGAAATGAGATCTAAATACACACAAGTGTGGCAAAACAAATGATTTGGAAGGATCCAATATGATAACTCCTATCAATCTTAGACAAAATCAAATAATATAAATAACCTACATACTCTAAAATTTAATAAAATATCTTAATAGCTGCACCTTAGAGAAAATAATATTATATTGTTCTGCGTAATCACATAGGTGGCATTTAAGAGGTAACCATAAATACAATGAAAACTACTACTTGTAGATAACAGAAACTGTTATTTTCTACTTACTAATAATCCACATTGCCCATTATTGCAATTTATTTCTTTTTTCAATTTTGAGCAAACAACATATTGTGATCATGACCCTAAAGATCATAGATCAATTGAGATTTTACTATTAATCACAAAATCAAGTCCTTTGGATACATAACAAACTAATTATACCAAAGAGTTAGGAACATTTACAATGATTTTCTCTACTTCTTAAATCTATTGGTGTGAATGCATTTAATATTCAGAAATAATTCTGAATTCAATATCCGCCCCACAGTCTTGACTTACCGACACTAAATTCTAGTGCTATTTCACGGGGATTAGAGATGTTTTTAAAGAAATAGTGTCATTCATCAACTTGTAGCTTCTGAATCCTTGTTGACACACAGTCCATTTCTGGAGATATCTCCGTGCTTGATGGGGGATCAATAGATAAGTTGAGATTTTCAAGAGACTGGCAACGCTTTGCTGGACTCTTAGGGTCGAAGGTACTGTTACCACTTGTAGAAGGGTCCAACAAACTATTATGTTCACAGGCTTTATCGCTGACTTCACTGATAGCATCAGAATTTTCACTTTTAGTTCTGTGCCTGACAGGTAGCACGTATGGACAAAGTCTGTTTTTGTTTGCAGCCCTTTTCATGCAATAGCCTACCGTAACGTTGGAAACATAGCGCGTATTTAGACGCATCACACCAAAATTTGATTTAGATTCTCTTAAATATTCGCGGCGGGCTTCTGTTATGGCACTCAACATTCCCAAGTCGTGTAACGCTTTATCCAAGTTATTCAAATTCATGTGATGGCGAGGAACCTGTAAACAGTGTAATTAAGTTTTTGAAAATGACAGACAAAAAAACATATAATTCGGTGTTCACGTTGTTACATACACTTTTTTGAAATTCATTGCATTTCATTATGAATAGAATCAAGGGAAATTTATCAAATTCGTAAAAACAGTGTGAAAATAAACATCACAAAAAGTCATAATATGTAATGACATATAACAATAGATTGCCCTTTAAAATACGAGTTTCGGTGCTGCCCATAAATTATTTGAAAATTACCTTTATTATGTTCGGGTAAACTTTTAACACTAAAAATATATTATTATATTTATTATTAATATATTTATCTGCCGACTTTCACAAAGGAGACGGTACTCAATTCGACTGTATGTTTCTTTTTATGTGTGTTACCTCATAACTTTTTTCTGGGTGAACCGATTTCGATGATTCTATTTTTATTTGAAAGCTGGTACTTCTCGTGTGGTGGAATTTGATCAAGGTGAGACCAATAGTTTTTGAGTTATTCTTAATAACTAATATAGAAGTCGGCTGTAAATTTTTTTTAATTTTAAATTATTTCCTGTCAAACCAGACAATACCATCAAACCTCAAACCCTTTGTTAAACGCAAGGAGGTTGTAAAATATAGGGAGTGAGCACTTCATACTAGAAAAACGTTCCTAAATCAGTGACCTTGAAATGAATGAAAGGCAAGGAGTTAAGCGTTTCATTTCTTTCTAATAGAGCGTCCATGATACAATATTTTGAGGATATTAATAGTATATACAGCATTACGGAAAACGAAATGCGTATTTTTATTTCAATATGGAAAGTGCTGAATAGTGTTATAATTAAACACCGTTTCATATTTTGATTATATTATTGCTTCGCTACAGTACCAAACCTTACGGTAATCAGTGGCAGCGTAGCGTGGGTTAGCACCCAGGGCGGTTTTCTATCAAGCACCGCCCAAAATAAAACAAAAAATGCTATACATGCTAACGGGACTTTGTTTTGCTAAAATATTCTAATATATTATCAAAATTTACTTTCTTGCCATTTTCAATAGATAAAATGGAAAGATCCGTTAGTCGTGCTTGGCTCATTGTATACCTTATGTAAGATTTTATTAACTTGAGTTTTGAAAAGCTACCTTCACATGAAGCTTAATAATAAAAAAAAACCTTGGACACAGCGCTACATTCGGAACAGTTTCATAATAGCCCAATTTTACGAGAAAAGTCCAATGTAGTACATTGAACCGCTTCTTGGGACGAAATGCTGGCAGCTTTCAAGTCGTAAAATATCCAAAATTATATATCCTGCAGAAAAATGATCGTAGATTTTTGTCAAATTTTAACGAACACGAAGATCTTCATCTGGTAACGTTAGCAGAGTGTAAGGCTGAACAACACTAAATGTTACAAGAATATCACCCATTGCTCCGTAGCGATGGTCTAGTTCCTCGTAAAATCTGTCAAGACATTCAATCATAGCTCTCTGCAGCTCAGCATATCGGGTCATTTCTCCTGGTAAACGTTTTCGAAATCTCCTTATTCCTCTTCTTCCTTCAATCAAAATGTCCACATTCTCACATTTTTTTTACGATAGAAATAGCTTTTTCCTTTAGTTGAATACTTTGGCTTTGAAGAAAAATTTTTGAGCTTTGATTTTTATCACATACTTTTCCAGTGATAATCTAGATTTTTTATTATTATTTAGTATTTAATCAATACTTATTATAACTTATTTTAGGATTTTACACCAAAAGGAAAGATAGCATAAAAAACTGAAGTCACACAAAACTGGTAAGAGTGTATATGCTGCTTCTCTTGTATCGATGTTTTCTCTGTTGCATCTGGGTTCATATATATCTGCGAATGTTTATAGTAGTTTTTTTTAATTATCCTGCAGTGGTTTAACAGCAATCCATCTTGTCTCTGAGAGTCTTTTGATGGATACGCCTACACTTTTCATTAAAGTTTTCCATTGACGTGAGGATAATGAAAAAACCTGTAAACTCTTTCTACTGATCCGAAAAAAAGTTAAACTTGAATTAACGCTCCCTAAGAGAGTGCACTCCACATAGATTTAGCGAATGATTAGCACAAGGCATTTTCTACGTGGTAGAGCCATGCTGCATCTATATTAGTAGTGTAATTGTAGCAAATGGGTCGGCCCGACTGGGGAAGGACCGCGCATTCACAGAATATCAACGTAAAATAGCAGCTTACCATTGATGTGTTTCGTATGGTGAGTGTAGAGAACCGGAGACCATTTTCACTGCAAAAAAGGTATTCCATCTTAGTCCTCACGGGTGACAACGCATCTCCATTTTGATTCGCAAACGAGGATAGATGTATGTCTATGGGCCACAGCAACTACTTACCATCAGGTGGACTGTGTGCTCGTTTGTCACCATATCCTATATAAAAAAACAACGGTTTGGGATATTCATTCATTTGACAACGTCAAAATTTAAAATAGTATTGTCATCTATAGAGTAAAATGCACGCCCTAGTTTTTATGGAAAGAACATTCGTGTTTTAGTGGTTTTTTTTTCGTGTTACTTAATTATATGCATAATTTAAATACAATATGGAATATACCAACTATGATTAGCGATAAAAAAATGTAAGATTATCGTCGTAGCATACGTCTAAAATATTACTTTAAGTCAATAACTGTCTAAAGGTTGGTAATGTTTTTATTTTGTGTAAACATTTATCAATACTAGAAGGAGATAAAATACAAAACTCGGTGTCTCTCTTTCTAAGAAAAATGAGGGACAGTTACAATGTTCCAAGCACCTCACTCTCTATATTATATTATAACCTCCTTGGTTAAACGACAGTTATACTATTATAGCTTGTATAACATAGCTTGAACTTTTTGGCAGATGGGTCTAGTGATGGGTAACAAAAAATACCTAATATTGCAAAAAATAACGTTTTTATATAGGTACTTGTAACTGTGATGAGATGGTGTGACTGTATGTATGTTTTAAACTATTCAAAATAAATTAATTAAATTCAAAGGCTTTTGACAGGGTTTGGCTTGCTAGCATTGGTTGATTTTGTTTTTTTTTTTTTAGTATAATATTGTTTATTCTTAGTAAGTATTGGTCTTCACCAATGGTTTCCTGTTATGTGAGTGACTGCGGTGTCAGTAATAGAAAGAATCCTGATAATTTCACATTTAATAGGTAAATTCTTAAGACGTCCTCACTGCTATGACGCGTTTATTTTGGACAATGCCATATACGAATTCACGAATGCCGTATGCATAACTTTTTTTACTGTTTTATTACTTTATGCAAATTATATTTGTTAAAGTTTTTATAACTTGTGATTTTTTTAAATTGATTTTTTTTAATTACATTAACCTTATGTTTTATAATAGCATTCTTTGCAGTATATTGTAATTGCAATACATAAATTATCAGGCGCTAATAAAATATGTAAATAAGGATTTTAGAAGCCGAAATAAACTTCCCTTGGATTTGTATAAAACAATTATATAATCACTGATACTTGACAAGGTGTTCTCCTGTTTTGAAGCTAAACGATCCTAACACTATAAGATAACCACCACGTGTTCCTTAACTGGTTTAGGTATACATAGGTAATAAATAGGCTGAATCCGTTACGTAAATATTACTTTTGATGTTGTGTCATAACATAACATAACATAAACACTCACGCCTGTCACCCAGAGGGGTAGGCAGAGATTATGGACTTCCATTTGGCACGATCCTGACACACCTCTCTCGCTTCCTCCACATCCATATACCTACGCATACACGCTCGTCGGTTAAAGGTACTCTTGATTTGGCCCATTTTTAATGTATCGCCAATTTGGTCGATAAACTTTCGCCTAGGGCGACCCTTCCCGACTATGCCGTTCACCTCTGCAACATAAATTTGCTTTGTCACTCTTTCCTCATTCATTCTTTCTACATGGCCAAACCACCGAAGCATTCCTTTCTTAATCCTGGTCACAACATCATCTTGCAAACCACACTCTTCTCTTATTAAACAATTTCTCACTCTGTCATTCAGCTTCATCCCTAACATACTCCTTAATGACCGCATTTCTACAGCATTTATTCTACTCTCATGCTTCTTCTGCCACACCCAACTTTCACTACCATACATTAAAGTAGGTACTAACACAGCATTGTGAATTGCCATACGTGCCTTTTTGGACACATTCTGACTTTTCACAATAGAGTGTAGAGCCCCATTCACTCTATTTCCTGCATTCACTCGTCGTTCTATATCCTTATCATATCTACCATCCCTGCTAAACACACATCCCAAATATACAAACTCATCTACTTGCTCTACCAACTCCCCTTCTATTCTTATTTCACATATCGTTTTACTTTCTTCTCTTTCAAAAACCATAACTTTCGTCTTACTTGCGTTCACTTTCATTCCCTTTTCTTTTAATGTCCTGTTCATTAATGTAACCATCATTTGCAACTCGGCTGCCGACGACGCAAGTATGACTTGATCATCGGCGTACAAAAGGCATTTGACGGTTAACTCACCCATTCTTAACCCGCATTCTTCTACTTTCAAATTTTCCAAACAACTGTCCATAAACAGGTTGAACAACCACGGGGAAGCCACACAGCCCTGTCTGACACCTTTATGGATGTCAAACCAGTCCGAGTAGGCCCCGTTGATCCTGACACAAGCACTAGAGTCCCTATATAGAGACTTCAATGCCTGTATCAGACCAGCGCTCAACCCAAATGAGTTCAGTGTTTGCCATAACACATCCCTGTCCACTCTGTCATAAGCCTTCTCCAAGTCCATGAACGCACAAAAAACTTTTTGGTTTTTGGCCAAAAACTTCTCGGCGATCATGCGCATGGAAAAGACCTGATCCGTACATCCCATTCCCTTTCTAAATCCCGCTTGCACATCCCAAATTTTTCCGTCAGTTTCTTTCATAACTCTTTCAATTAGTACCTTAGCATACAGTTTTCCCACAATGCTAAGAAGGCTGATACCACGGTAGTTTTTACAGTCCTGCTGCGATCCTTTTCCCTTATATATTGGGACTATCACGGCTTTGCACCAGTCTCCCGGTACCCGCTTAAGTTCCCAACATAAATTA